GGGAGCTGCTGGGCAGCTCAGCTCCTCCGTGTAAGGAGTACCTAGGAAATAACCGACTCTGCTGTCTGAAAAACTACAGTTCACTCTCAGCATCCACTTTTTTTGTGTAAGTTTCTGAGAAATCTGCACAGAACCACTGGTTTTCAGACCTGCCTAGTGAAGTCAGTACTTTCAGAGTGCATTGACACACAGGCTGCAGTGATGCTTGTTTGTGGTAGGGCTGGGACCATGGCAAAATCCTTTTATGTTCCTGGAAGAAGTGTGTGGCCTACCCCATCTGGGGCAAAAAAAAAAGTGGGCATTAATGCTCTAATTTTCAGGTTCAGCTTAAATTGGACACAGTAAAACTTTCCCGTAAATGTTCTTCAGTGTACACCAGATTCCAAGGTTTTAGTATTTTTAAGTCATAACCAAGTCAGATCAGTTATGCACAGTACTGTAGTGCTAGAGCTACCTCTAAAGACAGAATTTTGCAGTAAGATCAGTAATATTTTTGTATGCTAAGTTTACAATAATTTTTTTTTTTGGAAGTCATGAAAGAAAAATGCCTGTTCCCTCGTTAATGTAGTTGTAATATCTTTAAAAATTTCATTTCAACATTTAAAAGATGAATCAAGGATATGGTTTTCCCAAATACCTGGTTTAAAATGCTGCACAGTATCTTTCCTGCTTGTCTGGTCAGTGCTCCTTACACTGTGGCATAGTTTTTCATAGCTAGTCTGAGCACAGGGATAAATCATGTCTCTGCTGCTTAACACAGTCCCAGCTGTGGGATGGCCTTCAGACGTTCAAACACAAGGCATTTAAGGAGCCTTTTTAAACATAGTTGTATTTTGTGTCACGTTTCATCATTCTGGGCAGTTTCCTGTAAAATCAAACTTTGATGTTAGACTTGAAGTTACTGGGTTGTTGTCTCTGAGACTTTGAAAGTGGTTTGTGTAGTGTTGTGCTTTTGTGGCTGACATGGACATTGTCATAGGAGAAGGGCATCAGGAAAACACTGAGCCAAAATGTGAAGTTCTTTTCATTGCAAAAACCTGTAGGATGGGAATAACTCATTCTAATATGGAATGACTCATGCACAGTAACAGTGTTAATATGGGGTTGTATTACCCATCTGCCTACTACCTCTTAACTCTTGTTTTGAAACATACCTAAGGTTTTGGCTGCATTTTCCATAACACCAGTGAGCTTTACTATTTCTATGTGCTTGCTCAAGCCCTTGCATACTTACTTGACTGTGTTAAGCTGTTACACAAATTCCTCACTTAGCCCTTTGCCAAACTAGCCAGTGTCTAGGCTTTGTCAGTGTTTTTGTAGCCTTACAGAAACTCCTAAAAATGTCTGTCTCTGATTTGGTAGGTGCCAAGGGTATGTCAGGCTTGGTATCCTCTTATCCTCCCGCTATTTTCTCTAGGGTGGTATCAAGGGTAGTTGTAACTCTGTACTGTTCCTTAATGCCTCTGTGGGGATCTCTGGGGGAGCTTATCTGGGTGCTGTGTGCAGTGTTACATCCATGGCACACACACAGTGTGGATGCAGAAATGCTTTTTTCACCCAGCTGGAAGTTCCGTGTTACAAGTGTCAGTTTAAAATAGTCACCAACACCTCGAGTGGACTTGGAATGAGTAACTGCTTTCAGCTGGACTGTTCTGCTCCCATTGATTATTAAAGGAAGTAGTAATGGTTTGGTGGTGTGCACAGGGAGTAGGCTTGTGACTGAAATTAGCTTGTTTTGATTCTAGTGCTGTAGTAGCCAATTAAAGTGCTAAGGATTTTTGTGCTGAAAGCTTACAGTTCCTTAAATGTTTCCTTTGTAACTGCCTCAAGAATTTGGATACATGTTCCTGTAAAAAATGATAATTAACTAGCCAGGTGTAAGCTATGGAAACTTTCTGATCCTTTTATGACCTGTTTACTTTCCAAGTAAGTGAATGTAGATCTTTATCACTTAAATTCTAGTATGATGCTGCTCTGAGTATTGCAAGGTTTCCTTGAGTCTATTGGAACTTGCATCTTTTGTCACCTCCGGAGAACGTGTGTGGTTGCGGTAATGAGTTGTGTTTAGGGACAGGATCAGCCAGAAGCTGCTCTCCTTGTCAGTTCCCAGAACTACCCTGTTTGCTGGGGAAAAGTCCTGTACCTCATCTCTCCTTTGCCTTCACCCCTACCTTGGAAGGACTAGGAGTTCTTACCTTGCAGCCTTGGAGAGAGACTTAGCTTCTCTTGCTGGAGGCTTGTAAACCTTTTCTTGCCCTTCTGACGATCGGGTAGGAGAGCTGTGAGCAAGGGGAGTGATGTTAGCGTAGCTCAAGGTGTGCTGGAGAGCACTGTATAGCTCCTCCCATTCCAGGCAGCAGCAGGGCACATATGACCTCCCAGCTATGCTGCAGGAGGTGTTACTTTACAGCCTTGCAGAGAGCTGGTGCAGTTTGAAGCTGACTGTCGACTGGATGGGTTCGAATCCTTGACTCTCTGTGGAAGGTGGACTGGAGATTCCTTATCACACACAAGTCTAATAATAAACGCAATTTACGCAAAAAAATAGTCGGTTTTTTTCCTGTGAAGTGGAAATAGTCTTATTTGTAAGTATCTTTGAAACTTTCTGTATAGCGTTTCATTTTTCCAGTAAAAGCTTACCCATTTGAAGTGTTTTTGAAATGAGAAGTGCATATCTTGAAACTAAACTTGGTTCTGAAACTGTACTCCAGGTAAACCTTTTCTTGTTACGTTTTTTGCAGTCTGATCAGATGGTTGATTGTTCACCTTAATGCAGTCTCTAGCTTTGTGCTTTTACACAGTTTGTTGAAATTAGTGTGCCTCTGTCTAAAATGCTCTTAAAACTCCTTTTTACCTTGTAGCAATCATTGGAGTCCATTCAAACTTCCTGGAGAGAAGATTGAACTTAGTTGCAATGGTGTTTGTGATATGTCAATGTCTATTTTGTTGTTGTTTCAGGAGCTGTTGGACAAATATTTAATAGCTAATGCAACCAATCCAGAGAGCAAGGTATTCTACCTGAAGATGAAGGGAGACTACTTCCGATACCTTGCTGAAGTTGCCTGTGGTGATGACAGGAAACGTAAGTACCTTGTGGTCTCAGGTTTTTCACAGCATAGGAACTCTGGTCTGTGGGCAAAGGAACAGTAGATGTACAGACTCTGGATTCACTGAGTTAGCTGTGTTTCAGCTGGAAACCTCCAGTGTTCATACACACAGAGTGTGACACTCTGAATAGACCTGAAGCATAGTATGCCAGGGAGTTTTAGCTAGTGTTCTGTCATCTACCCGAAATTTCTGAGTAGTTGTTCCATAATGCTTATTTAAAGCTTCTGGAAAACAATGCAGGTGAAAGTGTGCTAACATATTTAATGTTGTTTGTTTGTAATTCTTTGCTAAAATACAGTTGGTGGGGGAGAGTAAACAGATCTCTGTAAGATTTTGTACTCCATGATGGAGTCCTGTTGGTCTACAAATTTTAACCATGTCACTGTGAAGCAGACTTCATTGTAGTCACCTAAATTTATAAAGAGGCAACAAAATCACTAGGTCGGTACACTAGCCAGAAAGCATAAGCTGCACTCTTAAATGACTGATTTTCATGGAGATGACACTGTCCCTGTAATTTTAGTTTGTGCTTTTGGATCCAGCAGAAAAGGCCTGGAAATTGCCACTTGATACTGGGCATCCTGAGAATGTGGAACATTCCTAGACATTAGAACATGGGTGGTTGTAAGTACGTCAGGAGCCTCTTCTGGGGTAGAATTTAATTCTCTATTCAGAGGATGTATTGAATTAATTACTAGAACTGTCTTGCAAGGTGCTCAGATACTGTTGTGATGTTAAAAACTCGTGGTATGGCATAAGCCAGTGATGCGTTTCTACATAACAAACTAAAATTAGTCCTGGAGTAATGCTGTGACACAAAGGAGAGGGATTGTTGGAGCAGGTGGAGCGCTGCAGGGACTGTCCCTTGGGTTGGGTCTCACAGCATTGGCCGGTTGAAACTGATTGCATTGCAAAGCACTTAAACAAAGGCTTCATTGGTCTCCTTGTATTGTAGGAGCTTTTAAGCTGAGAGATGAAAACACACAAAATGGAGTAGCAGAGAAAACCTGTCTTTGGCTTTCACAAAGTTCATCTGATTTATATTTTGTATCTCAAGCAACAGTTAAAAATCTGGGCTTGTCTGAGCAGAGAAATACCAGCTTTTCTTGGCTAAAGTGACTGCATTTAAATGACATGCACACTGATCTGGGTGCTTACAGTGGGAGAGAGATTGATTGATATAACCTTACTAGCAGATGGTGGTGGTGTTCAGCTGGGAAGTTACAGCTTGTGTATCACCATGCAGACGTTTTGTGCTTGACTTCTTGCAAACTTTAAGGAGTTTCACTTTAAGCTTTTCTGATGTTCTGCCTCTAAGCATCTGTTTATTTTCTCAGCTTCAAATATATTTCATGTACTTGCAAGGTAATTTATTTCCTGCATTTGCTAGGAGTTTTTTGCCTTTTTTCACCTGTTCTCAACAGATTAATAGTCCATTAGCACTCATTACAGTGTAAATACAGGAAAACCCAAATCTGTTTTGACTCTTTTGAATACTTATTAGATTTTACTTACCAAACTCATTTACCAGCATTTTCTAGAGCAGCTGCAGTTTTAGCTCCTCCAGAGAGCTCTATTTTGAGCTCTGGCAATGGCTTTCTTTTTCTGCAGTCTCCTTCCTTTCTGCAAAATGTTTAGGGTGGCTGTTGGCCCTTTGGTTGTCTATGGAAGTGAATCTGGAATAGGCTATAGGTAGCATTCCTGCAGTACTCTCTGGCCTGGTAACCTCTTTTCTCTGTGTTATTTATCGCAGTTATTTTGGGCACAGCCTCGGGTTTTTCATCTTGACTTCTACACCCAGTTTTTGGAGGCAGACTTTCATTTTTTCAGGAACATGCCATACATGCCTTCCAAACTTCTTCAAGAAGTCATGCTTCACACACAGTAGCCTTCTTTACTCTGCACACCCAACTCACATGAGCATGTCCATCATGTGCAAGGAATGAAGTAGGAGTTCTGTAGGAAAAGTAATGCATAAATGCTTTTTTTCCCACCTGAAGTATCAAAGGCCACTGAGGTAATACAGTAATCTTGATTATTTGTATTTACCAGGTTCTGTGTGTTTATCTGTCTCTTGAATACCTTTGCTCTGTAGTAGCTTAATTTGCCCCTTGTGTTTCAGCAGCTGTACTTGAAATGGGTGTAAAATCATTACCTGGAATAAAGTGCAGTGTTTAGCTAAGAGCAGTTCAGTCCCCTACTAATGGAGTACTTTACATGGTCACATCTTGGAAAAAAAAATTAAACAAAAACAACCCCCCAAAACACTTAAAATTTGTTATTCTTTTACAGAAACAATAGAAAACTCACAGGGAGCTTATCAGGAGGCATTTGATATCAGCAAGAAGGAGATGCAGCCAACACATCCAATTCGCTTGGGTCTAGCTCTTAACTTCTCTGTATTTTATTATGAGATTCTCAACAATCCTGAGCTTGCCTGCACACTGGCAAAGACAGTAAGTTACTTTTTTTTCTTTTCTATATGACTGCAGGGACAGTAGAAGAGAGTTTATGCTTAAAACAGTATGAATTATTATTTCCGAGAGTTTATGCAGGAAATTATCTATTTATGTTTCTGGTTTCCAAGCTCGTAATTAGTGGGATTAAAGGAGTTCAAGCAGGCTGTATTTAGAGTGTGACTTAAATTTTCAGCAACATGGCAAGCTTTTATTATGCCTTTATTATGGTTTTGTTTCAAATAGAGCAATTCAGGTCATTAGCTTCTAATGTTGCCCTTTTTTTTAAGCTACCTTGCTGATAGGTTTAGCTTCTACTTGCTTAATGATAGTTAATAGAAAGGCTAAAGATGGTTTAATTATTCCAGGCATTTGATGAGGCTATTGCAGAACTTGATACACTGAACGAAGACTCATACAAAGACAGTACTCTCATCATGCAGTTGCTTAGAGACAACCTAACAGTAAGTTGCCTTTTTATGTGCTATCTGGTTCTGTAACCGTGTGTTTGATTAGTTAGACTGAATTTGTGATTAACAAAGCCTTTCTTTCACTCTAGTGCAAAGCACAGCACTGACTCAGGCTGTTTACCTATGATACCTTTTCATAACTTAGTTTTAATGTTGCTGTCAACTTACATGTTGTTCATGCTGTGTAATCTGGAATAACAGCTTGAGTAGCTCACATTCTTCCTGGTTTGATGGCCTTCTCAGTGGAAGGGAGAAGGGGCATTCAGCTAACCTAATGTACAAGATGAGGCAAGGAGTTAAACCACAATAATCCATCTTCAAACTTTTTTGATGACTACCTCAAAACAAAAAGTTTTTCCTGTTGTACATCCAGTGTAGCTTGCTTGATTCATTGTCCTGATTTTCTTTTAAAAGAACTGAAATTTCAATGTATTAAGAATAAAATCAGTTGATGTTTGAGTATGTTATTGTAATGATTAACTATTTAAGAAAAGTGCCTAATGGAACAACTAGGTTCTATTAAAATAGGAAACTAAGACAATTTTTCAAGGAATATCCTCTCTGGATATTCACTGTATTTAAAATTATAGCAACATTTGTTATTTTGCAGTAGTCCTTCAGTAGAAATGTCTGTTGTTAGCATATGAAGTGCTTAGCTTCGATAACCAAAATAGCAGTTTACACTTCCAGGATTCAGACTGGTGTGTTTGAAATGGAAGTTACCTGTGAAGCTGCTGTTCAGGCTTGTAGAATGCCCTGGGATCGATGGCACAGCTTGCTGTTAAACACAAAAGCTAGAGCTGTTTAGAACAGTTTGCTCTGCCCCTCTACCTGAGGGCATAGCTGGTTGGGCATAGCTGGTTGTGCCCTGTGCACAAGGAGCTCTTTCTGGTTACCTCTCTCCCAGCAAGTACCGAAGCCAGGGCTGTGCAGTGCCAGTGCACTGGTACTTTGTAGAGATCCTTAAGTCTAATTCATTACCATTTCCATACAGTTGTCACTTTTTGGAATTCCAGCTGTGCTTCTGAAAGCTGATACCGTTTTTCTCTTCTTTCTAGTTATGGACATCAGACAGTGCAGGAGAAGAATGTGATGCTGCAGAAGGTGCAGAAAACTAAACTGCACGTGGGGCGTCATTCTCCCTTTCCTTCTCAAGAAACCTTTTTACACGTCTCCATTCCTTATAGCTCCACTTGGATTTCCTATAGCAAAGAAAACCCATCCATGTGTATGGAAATCAATTTATAGTCCTTTCACACTGCAGCTTTGGGAAAACTCCATTCCTTGATTTGTGTTTGTCCTGGCCTTCCTGGTGTGCGGTTACTGCTGTAGAAAAGTATTAATAGCTTCATTTCATATAAACATAAGTAACTTCCAAACACTTATGTAGCGGACTAAAGTGTACCTGGTATTTAAAAACAAATCTGAACCAGTTCCTGCCAGTTGACTGTGTTTTGTATTACAGTAAGATATGAAAATGTAGTTAATTGCAACTAAAGAGTGTTCCACATAGCATTTAATTCTCCACATTCCCTTCTTATTCTGCAGGGTTTCCTTTCCATAATTGACTTTCACATGCTACTGTGTATTCATTTCAGTAGGAATATGGAAGTACTGGGCCAGATCAAGTTGAGCATTTAAAGTTTGGAAAATCATAAATTGAGTTGCTTCCCGTATCATGTAATACAGAAACTTGTGTGTTCAAAAACAGGGGCTTCTCTTAATCTTCAGTTGCTGCTGTTTAAGTTGATATCCCTTCCCAATAAAAGTTCACTTACACTCCTGCCTTTGTAGTTCTGGTATTCACTTTACTATGTATTAGAAGCAGCATGTTACTGCTGGAGTACAGGCAGTGCTTTTTGGCAGACTGAAGTGCATGTCATTTCTTAATACACTGGAATGGGAAAACCAATTGAAGTTCACATGTCCAAGTATAAAATTTAGTACTTTTCCATGCAGGTTTGTGCACATGTGAGAAGGTGTCAAGTTCGTCCAGTGATTGTTAGAGAGTTTGGACCACTATTGTGTGTTGCTAATCATTGATTGTAGTCCCAAAAAAGCCTTGTGAAAATGTTATTGCCCTCTGTAACAGCAAAGTAACATGAAATAAAATTACATTTTATAAACCACCTACTGTTGACTTGTAACAATTCCATGTAATAACTTAAGGGCTAAACTTAAATGTAAGTATATCTTGTGCTGGAAATGTCTCTCTCAAATTTATTGCATACTTTTAAAAAGTCTGCTCTTAATTGAACTCATTTTATGAAAATATCTTAGATAACTTTTCATAGTTAACCTGACATGTGGACTTCTTAGTAACTAAATCTACTAGAGGAAATTGCTTTACCTTAATAATGACCTAAGAAAAGAGAGCCAATTTTGTGATACTCTCTCATGGCTTGCAAATATCCTCATCTAAATTACACTTTTTTTTTTTTTGGTAATCTATTGAAATTCTCCTCCCTGTTCTCCTGTTGTGTTTTTTCACTGATGGACATCATTACAGTATTCCAGCTACATGTCTAGTAATGCAGAGGAATTTGTTTGGCTCTAGAATGTTAGTTTGTGTGCTGCCACGTCATAATATGCTTTCTGTTGTTCTTAGGCTGCTTTTAGTGTTACTGTGTTCCCCCATTTTTGGAGATTTTTGTAATAATATGTTGCTCTGCTTTTCCTTTTTTTTTTTCTTTTCTCTCCTAGGTCACTTAATTTTTTTTCCTAAACCTCTACCTCTTAGTTTCCCATTTTGGTGGGTTTTTGAAAATATTTAACTCCTATTAGTGTCCTGGCTACACAGGATATGACATTATGAAAAAGGATATATTACTACTCCTTGCAGGCTTTTGATGGTACATTTTCCACCTTCCATGTTTTTGTTCATTCTTTGAGTGTGCACAATGAGTGTTTCTACAATAAAACTGTTCAGATTCTGTGCTTCAATTGACATACATTACTTAAAAAAAAATTGTATCAATTCCATTTTCTTCATGCAGTCACTTTGAATTGCTGTCAAAGTATTGTGTGGCAGGACTCTACATAAACTCATATGCTTCTTAATCGGTGTTTTGGTTTCGTAATTTCTTACCCTCCCCTCTGCATTTCTTATTGATCCTTTATTTGTTTCATAAAGGTTTTTAGCTCCTAAATGCTGCCATTCTCTAGTAAAGCTGTTTGGGTACTGACATGTAGCAGCTTTTTCTGCCCATTTAAGAGTTTGTTTTCTTTGCTGTCTCTGGCTGCTGTCTTAGCTTGCGCTACATTGTCAGCTAACGCTGTTCTTTTGTTTCCTTTCTTTTGCACCTTATCAAGGGAGTTGTCAATTTTCCTTACAGGAACAGGATCTGGGCCTTGTATTTAGATTATAGCTTAATTTATTAAATGCTCTTTTTGATGTTTATCAAGCTGGGCAAATTCTAGCTGCCTTTTGTTTGTTGCATGTACGTTTTACAAAAGGAGTCTTGAAACTGCAGTATCAGCGTATGAATTTAAACAATAACAAATGCAGCATCATCTCATAGTGTTACTTCTAGAATTCTGCCAAATATTTGTAGTGTTTTGAAGGAGAGAGGTAATGAAACATGTAGGGGAATGGGATGATAGTACCAAAAAGAGAGATGAACTGTAATTCCCTAAATGACTTTGCCTAGCCTTTCCCTCCTGGGTAAACTCCTTTATTAGTACAATACCCAGACAAATTAGGCACATTCATCTGGTATTACGGTTTCCAGCTCCAGGAGATAATTTGCAACAGGTTTGGATCCTGCCCCACAGCACGTAAGGACCTGCCCCACAGCTTAGAAACACTGCACAGACTAATGCTGCAAATTCTGAACTCTGCATCTTCTTTGCAAGCCAGACACACGATTGACAATACGATCTAAGGCACCTCAGTCAAACAATAGCATATTGTTAGAGTAAGGATGGGATTTTCATATGTTGAACATGGTTGTAAAAGTAAATCCTGTGGGGCACAGTTACTGCTGCATCTCTACAGTAAATTTCACAGTACTGTGTTAATCATCTCAACTCCCTTCTTAGTATTTTCAGACTATTAAATAAAAACAAATTCTCACTTTTCTGCCATATGAGTGATGGTGGTAGAGATGGTAGTTCATGCTAAGCCACTTCTGAGGTATTTCTGTTATAACTCAGCAAAACCTGGGGTTTGTACTTGATTTCTCAGGATCTTTGTTAAAATGACTAATGTCAGCAAAGAGTTCTCTCCAAGTCTAGTTACAGTATTCTCTATGATAGCCAGCTACTTGTTACACTGGAGCCACCTTCATTTATGATTCTGTAAAACAAACAGAGCACTCGCTCCTTCACACATAACTTTGTTCTGTGCAGTACAAAGGAATGTGGGGAGTCCACACTTAAGTTTGGGTTTGTTGGGAGTGTTTTGTTTGGAGTTTCTTGGGGGGCTTTTTCTTTTGTTTTTTTGGGGGTGGGGATTGAAGGCTTTTGCCATAAACACCCCAAAGAGCTAAAAAAAAGCCAGTAGAAATGTTGATTTGGGCAACCGGAATTGACATGAACATACAAAATACACTGTTTAAGTTTAGTGTGCTTTTCAAAGTCATAGCCTAAACACATCAGAATGGGTCTGATGCCTCCTAAAATTATCATTCTTAGCAACCCAAGTGGGTAAATGGGGCAATAAATCATCATACACAGGAAAAGGACACACTTGGATTAATTTATTCCTAACATTACTGGAAGACTAAAACTCTGAGATCCCAGTTGTACAGCTGAAATCCCAGACTTGTGTAACAAGAACTAACTGCCCTCTTTTGTGTGAGTGTGGCTAGATGACACGGCTGCTGAAAGCTCCAGCAATTACAGTTTGGCCAGCTTTCAGATGAATAAAATGCCAGTGTGGGAAGGGTGAAATGTTAGTACCAGCTTTGGATTACTGCCATGATATTTTCCACTATGAAGACTCCAACTTCCTAGAGGGAATGCTTTGTTGTCTTCTGCCAGAATCCTTAAATCGGCAAATATTGACAATTACATCTGATTATAAAAGTGTAGCCTGAAACTATGTCATTAAGTATTTTAAAACATCTGTATATGCAAACTTTTTAAGGGGAGTTTGTCTGTAGTGTAGGATCTGTGAATTGACATCAGTGTAAGAATCCCTGAGCGGAGATTCTGTAAATGCCATTGGAAGTAGCTCATAAGCTCTTTCATTGCGAATTATATTCTCAGTTGTCCAATCTCTTTGCTTAGTTATATCCTCATTCCTGCTGTTGTTGTCATTGTAAAATCCCTCTCCTTTGGAAACAGAGTTCGTAAAACCTGTTTGGGGGGAGAAAGGTGGGGCTTCTTTAGGCCTTGGCTTCAAATCACATATGGCTGCTGATCTTGTTATTGCTGAGCAGATGCTGGGTATTTCCAGTTTGCTGTAAATCTGTTGGAAACAATGAAAGGGGCTCGTTACAGCCCTGTAAGAAGGAG